CAGAATCTCATTTTTCATACCAGATCCTCCGCCATGGACTGAGCCCCGATGTCAATGGAGAGGCTGCTGAGTTGAGGGGGGTTCTGAAACTCACGGTAGAATGTCCCCAGGTCCATTGGGAGAATGTCATCTTTTGAAAATGCTGGTTTCTAGAACAACAGATAAAGACATCACTTCCCATTCAGAGAGCTCTTTCATATAAGAGGCACTACCTGGTACCAGCAAATATCTCAACATTACAGCTACACTACAGCAAGTTAAACAATTGCACATTGGCTTCATCATCATCCCATGACAAAACCTAAATTCCTATCACCCTGAGTACTTAAAGCAAAGTTTCTCCCTGGAATCCCTATTCTGCCTCAGGCGTGCTGCAAACAAAGATTCCCCCACCCCCCCATGGAAATAATTTCTTCAAGTTGCTGGTTTACAAATACGTTTTTGTAAGTCTTGAGGGAAACCAGAAAATCCTGGCCCTTATCTGGCAGTGTGACAAGCCCTGGTTCAGGGAAATTAATCTTGTTTTTGCTGACCATACCACCACCATTTGAAGCTCATCCAAATACAGATGCCCTACAAAAGTGCTAGGCTGGGCTTATAAAGGGCAACAGCAACTTACAAAATCAACCATGACAAAATCATCATGTGTGTTCCCGGTGCTGTTACCACTTGAGCCCTCTGAATGTAAGCTGCCCAGTAGAGGAGACTCAGTTTCTGGGGAGTCAGGAGGATTCACCTGCCCAAAAAAAGCAGAGAGGATTTAGTCCTAGATCATGTTACCAAATCCATCTCCGTATAATGATGGCATGAGAGACAGCACAGTGACAGTTACAAGGGCCTGTAGTAGGCACAGGGGCTCTAAATATAAATCTGTTTCCATGTCATAAGAGCCTAAGCTCCAGCAGAGACAGAGACTTTAGAATCTGAACTGATGTGAGCTGCTGGTACTTTGATTATAAAATGAAGTGCGTGCAAAGCTAAGCTCAAGAAGAACATATCTGTATTGCATGAGTCATTCTTTAAAAACAGGGATCAGAGGTCTAAGTGGGTTCTTACCATGGGGTCGTTATCCTCCAGCTCAATGTTCTTGGGAGCAAACATGGCAAAAGGAATGTCTAAGTTGGCCATGGTCACCTGGGGAGATTTAACAGACAGAACCTCAGCACCTCATAAAGATTCTGCTTACCTAGCATATCGCATGCCATTGCAAGTCTTTGTCAGGGTTTGCTAAACTTTGCTTAAAGGTCATATTAACAACTTGGCAGAAATCCAAGAACTGCACCAAATGCTGTAAAATAGACTAAATTCCAGTCAGCTGCTTCTCTAAGACAGAAATGTGACCTGTAGTGTTGTCATGGCATATAGAATACCTGCATCAGACAGGCCAGAGTTAATGAACTACAGCGGGCTCAAGCAGCCCCTCTCTATCACACCTGCAGGAGATATCAAGCCTGAAAGGTGGAAATGGCCCAGTTGGTAGCATTCCTAGCAGTGTGACAGATCTTCAGTCTGTAGTCTCCAGAGAAGCCTGGCCCAAGGAAACAAATTTGTGCTGTTTGTTCCTCTGGAAGGGGCAAACCCCTGCAGGACACCACTGGAAAACTAGGTCTCGTCTATCTGGACCTGTGAAACTGATAACACTAAGGACTGGAGGCTGGGTTAGCTCAAGGCTGTGACTTCCTCTGGGAAACCAAGTCTTTGATAGAAACCTACATGTCTTAGCACACAATGAAGCATCTCATTTAAGGACCTTGAGTCACTGTAAGTTTGTTCTTATTCCCTGAGTTTGTCCCAATAATTCTGTGCTTTGTCTCTTCTGTACAGGAACAAAAGTGAGGAGCAGTGCTTCATGTGTCTGAGAATGATTGGTGCCAGTTACCTGATTAATAGGTTTGTTGACAAAGGCCCCCACCTTCCGGACAAAGATGGTCTCCAAGATATCATGTGGGGAGCCACTCTTCGCTTCACTGCTGTTTGATACTGTCTCTGTGTCCTCGCTGGGGGAGAAGTAAGAAGGGTTGACACCTCACTCCTCAAACAAGATAGATAAAAAAAAAGTACACTTTTTCACAGAACTCCTTTGGTTTCTTTTATTGGGTCCCCTTTTTAGTGTTGGGTGGACACAAAACCTAAAACATCTCTGCCTTTGTTGGACAAAGTCTTCCTACTCAGCTACCTGTATCAAATGGAGACGAAAGCTGTGGAGCAAGTTTCAATTTAACACTGGGAAAACACCATCCTATGTAGTAGGACCAAAAACCTCAGTCTTATAGCAGCACAAGGTTGCTGGGGGAAGGAAAGGATGTTTCATAAGCTGCAGTGAAACCTAAAGCATTCTTGTCAATCATAATCAATCACTCCTTTCAGTAATTGAGCAGTCTTGGATGTCTTACTTG